GCAAAGTTCATTCATTGTTGATTCCCGTGTCTACCTAATAGATAGCACAAATTATAAACGCATCCGATTACATTAATATTGTTTTTCTTGGTTTATTTTTATACGAGACTTATTTTTACCCAAAGAGACATATACATATTAATGAAAGGGCATCGAGTGAAGACTTGTTTTTGGCTTTGAGTGTGCCGTAAAATTACTAATTACGGCAGATACTTTATGTAAAACTAATAAGCCAAATGAATTCGTAAATAAATACACCGTCTAATGAAAATGTAACGTGTCCCCAATTCCCTTAAAGGCGTGTTGATACAAACACATCTAAACTAAACCCGTTTACTACACAAAGCGGCATCTCATCTGACAAACCAGTTTGTGATTTCGTTTTTAATTCAGCTTCATTTTTTTACGCAAACCAAACTGCCTCCCAAAGCCTCAATCAATGATCCTTGGCTCTTTCCGATTAGATTCAAAGATTGTGTCAGGAAGCATATTTACAATTATGGACGCCGCAAACGAAACTGACAATTGCTTTTCCACTTAAAAATTACTGCCACTTTTTTGGCCACCAGCTTTATTTGTTTCAATGATTAGTATCAGGTCGACTGCTTACGCGCAAATACACTTCAACAAAAGGTGACGCAAGCATCTTCAAGTATTACCATCGATGTATAGTTATATCTTAGATTCTGAGTAAACTTCGGACAAGCAAACTGTATCCACGGTTAATTACCGCTCTACCTAAACCTGTTATCCACCAATAAAGTCGTGTACATTTACAAAGTAGCTTCCCCTTTTAGAGCATTCATTTTCGTGCTGCGATTTTAGGATATTGTTGTCTATTTCGAATCGCCAAAAACTGTTACAGTTACTACCTTAATTAGAACAATGCCATCGTCATAATAAGATCTAACAAGAATAACAGTTGTTAAAGTCTAGTAAGATATTTTTTTGCTAGAACAAAGACGATATCATGATAAACCATTGTTTACTTAAGTAAATACGTAAGATTGCTATTAGTATAATTACTAATTTTTTTTTAATGGTTAGTGTTTTTGCGCTGTGTATCGTTACAAAATGAAAGTGCGTGCGCTTAAACTGCATAATTCGTCGAATCTTCATCTTCATTAATTCTAAAAGCATACTATGCAGCTTAAACTGTACCAATTTTCTGCATTTATATATATTATATATGTACAAGTATCTCAATTAAGCTGTTTCGCGCACTCTCTTAGATTCCTTCATTCATTCTGTCACTTCAAGTCTATAGCAAACGTCGTTGCGCAAAATTATCGGAATTTACAGTATAGTAGTTTATTCGTCTTCTTTGAATTGTGCCATTTCGTAACCGTTTTATAGGGGTTGTGCCTTTTTCTTCATGGGACGGATAAAAATGCCATGCGTTTTGACCAAGTCAGCTTCAGATTTTTCCTCTTCGTCAGGGGCAATAAATAGACAAAACCATGATAATTTTCGTCTATTTCTTGTGGTACTCACGATCCATTACAGCACCCATAGTGGGCGAAAGAGTCTCGTCAAAGATTGGTATATCAATCAATACGTAAAAATAGTTTACGAGACTTGAGGGAGCCACCGAGGTGTTAATTATTTTGGGATGCTTGAAGTCGGGACACAGCGAGAAACGATATGCTAGTCGATATTTCTTTGTCTTTCTGTAATGTTTTAACAAAACTGCACAACTAAGTATCGCTCGACGTTAGGTAGAAACATCTACATTGTCCGTTAATAATAACGTGCAACAATGCATATTAAATACATTCAAATTGACTAGTACTGTAATTTATCGAACCGTGAGGACCAGACGATGCCAATATAGAATCATTGATTTACTAGTGTTTAGTAGCCTTACGCCAATCGGAGCTGAATTATGTTTCATGCATCGACACGTCTGGGTCATTGCCTTTAGCAGCGGGTTAGTGGACATGAAAAATTGAGCTACCAAGCATTTGTTTCATAGCCTAGTTTTAATAGCTGCTATATGGGATTGCATTAAAAACCTACATAAATAACCGCATCAGGCATTCTATGTTGTGTAGCAAAATACCAATCATGGACTTCTGCTTTAACTCAACAAGTTCATACAGACCTTTTCATATCACTTGTTCAAGCTTTACCGCTGAACCTAGCATAGCTTTTCTGCAAAACCCTATTTCGTTTTACCCCGCCTTGAGAGTAAGTTAACTGTGAAATACAATCAGCATTTTCCTTGATTTTTCCTACTTAATTTCATCATTTTAAATATTACCGTTTTAATATTGGCTTGATATAAATACAAACTCTACATCTGGAGAATATTTACCTAATCGCTGCGTCTTAACGTATGTGCCTCTTGTTGCCCATCCATCTAATCTTTTGATAGCGTTATGACCATAGTTCAACTGGTTTTCAGTTCACTGATTTTCCAGTACGAAGCCGCCCCGCGTAGATATCACGATACATCGCGAGTATTCCCCTGTGCACAGGTGCCTTTAGGCAATCAACGATTGGACAGAACTTACTCTCGGCCTTAGTACATTTTGGCCGGCTTTGCTTATGCTCTTTTCGCTATCAGTGAGGTGGCCTGTGATAAGAACCACCATGGGCCTGGTGGTGGGTTATGTGCGAACCGTGTGACGACGATGCTGTCAGGTGATTGCCGTACAACGCATGCACCTTGTGGAGGGACTCGTGCCGCTCCGTGACGAGGCGAGTTTCCTCGCGCGAGAAACGGAGCACTGCAGCAATCACCTTGCACAAGGTCTGCAATACATAAAGCCGCAGCCATTTGATTAGATACACGAAATATTTATTCGCTTTCTTAGTTGTTTTGAAATTATGGAAGAGGGATTTCACCATCATTATTAGCCTCGAAGAATGAATGGCGATAAAAGTATTCTGTACACGAAGATGAGAGTGAAGTTTCAAAAATACCGAATTTTACCTGCGTCTCTTTCCCCATCATAAAGCTGAACATAATATTTTTAAGGTACTCATACTCTGTGGGCCCGGGCATATCCTTAATAAGACCTCCACGCGAATGTAGACCCAGCAACGCTTTGAGGTCACGTATTTCATCGCTGAAATGGGCAAATCGTCGCTATTATGTACAGTTCAGTTTGACTAGTCTTACACCATGCCAGGAAGCTTAACGATAATTTCTATATGAATTGCATCGTTATATTCATGTTATCATTGTTAATATTCAGAAGAAGAACATCACTCCACAGAGCTCAACCGGCGTCATGTTTAAAGTACATTCAAGATACGCTAGGCTTGAATATCTTTCAGGAATTCTGCAGCACGCATATTTAAATATTTTTTACTCATCAAATAATTTACTTAATCAGCCTGCACTATCCGATAACGTGATTGGCAAAATACGCACTGCTGTTTGGCGATCTGCATTCGGAGAAAGTCAACACTGTCGTAGTTTTCCGCAGGTTGGATGCACTTAGGGGGACCTGTCTGGCTCTCCTCGACAGCAACTTCAAGTACCGCGGGTGCCCCCTCATCAGGGGGATGAGTCGGGTTGGCTCCACTTGATCCGCCTTCGGCAGATACATTAACCTCGACACCATCCGCTTGCGACCACTCAACTTCCTCGTTGCCCCATGCACCCATGTGGCTGTTCCAGCCGTCATCTTTATCTTTGTCGTCTAACTGTTTCCTTAGAGAATCAACTTCTCGCTGCAGTTTATCACACCGCTCTTGTGCTAAAATCGACTGGTTCCTGATTACATTATTATAAAGGTAATACAAAAAGAAACAAACCAACAAAACTTTAAATTTAGAGTGAGCAATTAGGCTCTCAATGCGATGTTGTGATTCACAGCAACGCTTAACACGCTATAAACGGCAGCATAAATTAGATATGAAATGTTCATTTTAATATATATACCACTACTACTGCTCTAACCGTATCGACATACTTGTACTCGTCCATTTGCTCGCGAAGAGTATCAATTTCGTCGCCATTACAGTCTCTTAAAGCTTTAGCTTCCTTTCCAAGTAGCTCGGCACGTTTTGTAGCTCTATCGAGTTCTTCTCGATTTTTCTCAGCATCCCTTGCCAAGCGTTCACGCTCATCTTCGGCTGCTCGAAGGCTCTGCCGCAACTGCAGATTTTCTTGCTGTACAGGAGATTCCTTTACGGTGATAAGCTCAGAACGGGTGTTGCCAAGATCCTGCAGCAGGCATAGCCAGAAGACAATACGCATTTGTCACTTAGCATTCCACTATTTTCCACTAAAAGAACGCAAATAAATTGAGATTTTTATTTTGTTAAACGGACCCTACATGGAACGCATCTAATTTTGCAACTGAGTTGTCGAATCAGGAATAGTCCTAGTGTCTTTGCGTAAATAGCGGCTAAAAAGCTCGGCGAGTGCAGCAAAGCGTTAAAATGGCACAAAAAGAGACGTTACCTGTTGACAGGACTCTAGTTCCTTGGCAATGTCGTTAAGTCGACTCTGTAATTCGTAATTGGCACTCTCCATTAACTCGATACGCGCCGCGTACTCCTCGCGGACACGCTCTTCGGATGCCTAATATCATAACATGGGATACCATTAACTAAAGTAGCCACATAGATGACTCACAGATGAGGCAAAGTATTCACGGTTCAAACAAAAGGTCCTTACGCGAGGGTTTATTACAGATTACTGACGTGCGGTTAACCATGTTAACCTGCGTCGTCATTTTTTAGCTGGGCCTAGCTCTGAAAAGACCTGACCTTACGACATACCGGGATCTGTTTGCTCAAATCCTGAATTGTGGCCAAAGCTTCCTTGAGTTCTTGGCGCACTTTAGTGTTTCGTTCGTCGCCGGTCTTCAGACTTTCCTGCCAACTTTCACATTCAAGCCGTTTTTCGGCTAACTGCTGCTCCAGCTGGGTCTGGCAAGCTTCAAGAGTCTGTTCCAGACGAAATAAAGATGCAAAAGACAAACGGGAAGAACGTTACGTCACAAAGATCGCTGCGTATCAACTCCTATACTATACATCGGACTGCCAGGACGCCAACCCCATAAAACAACTTAGGATACTATTAAAGAGCAATTTCAACATGAGAACAGCATTTCGAGGTGTGGAGCAAAATGAGCGCCAGGCGACCAATTGAGTTTGTCATATGCTTATGAGAGAAGCGCACTGAACCGAGCAGGTAAGCACAGTAGACGAGAAGCTACACTATATGGGATGAGTGTGCGAAGGCGTACAAAGATGATACTCACAAAAACCGAGATGCGAAGATTTTTTTTATTTTTTCCTGCGGATTAACAGCTTTACTTTCGATACTTTCGCTTTATTGGACAAAAGACAAAGGGTAAGGGGGATAGGATAAAATGTAACATGAGTAACATCACATGAGTAAGGATCACGCGACAATTTGAAGAATCGAGAAAAGAACATCGATTTATAAGAGCTGCAAAAAGAAAATTGCAAAAAAAACAATGTACTGATGAAGGTACGATAAAAATTGCACAGGATGCATGACGACACGTTTGTCAATACAAAGTACAATGATATTCATCAAAAATCGGCACCAATAGAAGTTCGCTAAGAAATAGCTTTTTTTTTTCTATACTGTTGATTATATATCAATAATAAAAGTACCCTGAATTATCCAGCTCTGCTAAACAAACTGACTAAAAACAGGTAACAGGTATTTACGCAATATGGTACATTTGACTTGACGAGAACAGTTCTATAACTAAACCATTTTAAATGTATAGCCTAATGCAATCCGGCAATATATTGTCAGCACAAAAGCAGGATCCTCTCCTGAAAAGGAAGAGCTCTCACTTTATGCAAAGGTGCTCCAGACTATGATTCCACCTTCCGATCATCGTACTATTGCCGCAATATTACTTTGTGATCTGCTTCCGCCTAGCGCTACGATTCGTACTTTAGCGAATAACGAAAATATAGTCCGCACCGTTTCACTACTTGTTCACTATGAGACACGGGTTCGAGGAAATGGCCTGAGTCACATCGTGGCCTTCATGAATGCGCCAACTAAACGTGAAGTACTTTTTAAAACACTGCAGAGTAATCGTTCGAAAAAGGTTAGATACTGTACGTTTATGCGATCCTTTGCGTTTTTGAGGGTCGCCTCAAGCTTAGCCTTGCTGCTCTCAAGGCGAGTTCGGGCTTCTTCGCTCTTCGCCAGTTTGTCCTTCTCGACGATGAGCAGAGCTTCTACGTTGGCTATGCGCAGTTTACCTTCATGCTCCACCTGTATTCAGTAGTGCACAAGGTAATTACGACAAAGCAAATCAAATGAATATATCACACATTTCCGAAGAGCATCTCACAACAACCTGAAAAATCAAGTTCATAGCCAATATATTAACTCTACATGCACTGGTTTTCATATACACACACGCACGTGCAATCTTGTTGCGCTCGTATACCTGTCTAAGCTGGCCCTCTAACTGTCGATACATTTTGTCAAGCCTATCTTCGTTCTCTTTGAAGACATCACGCTCCTTGGCCGTCTGTCGGAGTAACTCTTCGACCTCTAAATGTTTCGCTTCAATGGTGCGTACTCGCTCAGCATATTGAGCCTCCAATTTTAAGATCTGAAGATGATCATATAAATCAGACTTGATAATATGAGTAGACTTCGATCTTGATGGACCACTAAAATATATGACAAACAACGTTATCGAGATGTTCGCCAAAAGCCTTAAAATCACAGTTCCATATATAAGAAAATCTAAATAAGGAAAAGGACAGCGTCATCTACTGAGCAGAATAAATAATTCATGTGATCTAGGCAAGCGTCTACATTATGTTAGGTTAAAGCACTAGATATAAATGCCGATTTCGACTCTTCAGTGTAGTTATATGAATACTTACTCGACCTTCAGCTTCCTTTTGTAGTCGCTCCCTACTGGCCAATTCATCTACAACCTGCAGATACAGTTCAAGTAAGCATCCAAATGATTATTAATCGTTGTAATGCATTATAATAGACTATAGATCGAAGTTCGTCGTTGTTTACATTGGACAAAACTGTTAAACCATACGAAATGGGTAATTGAAGATAAGATTCATTTGCTAACCTTAATAAGTTCCTGACTTTTCATTTCAACAGCGCGCCGCATTTGCTCGACATCCTCATGGGCTGCTTGTGCTTTGGCACGAACTTCGCTTAATTCTGCTACTTGGGATGCGAGCTCGCTTCGAAGAGCTTCCTCGGGGGTGTCCTTTAATTGACCCTCCAGCTGATCCACCTATAATTTTTTTAAAGTAGATGTTACGATTTGAGTTAACTGAGCAACAGAGCAAGTAGTATAGTGAGAACTATATCCTGTGGTGAGAACCATGGCTTAGTAATAACCCAACACTTCTCATATTAACTATGATATTTGTTCCCATCCATATTGGTCAATACCAATATTACCTTATGAACATCCAATATATGATACACTATTTTCTGAATAGTGAATATTCTGTATTGCAAACCTTTGCCCCTAATGAACGAATTTCCTGGTTGAGCCTCCCTCTCTCAGTCTCGAAATCGTTTTCCTGCTCAAGAAGTCGCGTCTCTAGGGAGTTCTTCTCTTTTGCTGCTGTGTCCCATCTGCCACCGCACATAACAGACACGGTCGTTGAAAAAAGACCTACTAGATGTTTATATATAAATGTATATATATGCATATGTACTCGGATCACCGCCACCAAATATAGCGTGGGATAGATCATGAAAATCCGAAATTAACAATAATAAATCATTGGTGTATAGGTGTACCGACCGGAAAGTAGCTGCTTCGACTTCCTGCTCCTTCCGCGATAGCTTAGCCCTCAGCTCTCTTTCTAGTATACTCTTCGATTCACTCGTTTTGGTTGCTTCGGATCGGACCTCCACTAGTTGCATCTCCATCTGCGCAATTCGTGCTTGAGCCTGAGCATACTGGCTTCGTACCTCTTCACTTTTACATTTAATAGTTTCATGCTTGCGGAGCACCTCTGCTAACTGCTCCCGTTCGGTGGTCAATGCTGCTTCAAGTGAAGCGATTTGTTTTGTCAGTTCGTTAACTTCAGAAGCTTTATCCTGTGAAAGTTGGTCAATATCGGCTGTCGCTTTAGCCCTGGTAGATTGTAGCACACTTTCTAGCTCCTCTAGTTTCACCTGAAGTTCGTTGCATTGGTCACGTAACTTCTGCGACTCTGAATGTTCGGTGAAGCTTGCTGCACATAAACATTCATTTTCGTTGCTCAGATCCTGTAGTTGTTTTGAGAGTCTAGCCGTTTCAGTTTGCTTATGGAATAATGGTGCTCCAAGACCCTCAGCTTGGGAGTGAAGGGTTTCTACGATGGCTTGTGTCGAGCCAATGGCGATGGAGTTTCCTTTGACTTTAGCCTCCAGCATAGCTCTCGTTTCTTCTAACCTAGCTAGCTTCGAATCGGCCTTTCTCATGTCGTTGGTCTCTTCCTTTATATTAGATTCGGTTAAGGCACTAAAATTCTCTAGTTTCTCACTGAGTGTCATGCATCTCTCTTCCGACTCGGTTAATCGCTTTCGTATAAGCTCACTCCCTTTAATTGTGCCATCATCCATGGAGTCGCCGGTAGCTCCTCCGTCATTCGGTGAATCCAGGTGAATCATATGCTGTACCAAATTGTTGCTGTCCTGTTGTCTCAATTCATTTAATTGTTCCTCAAGGGAACTTTTCTCCTGGCGTAATCCTTCTAACTGCTTTTCAAGATTGAGCACGCATTTTTCTTTATGCTCGCTTTCCGCATGAGCAATGCTCACCTTCTTTTGTAGCTCGCTAACCTCATTTAACAATTCCTCACTTCTTGCGTCTAGTTCTGCACTGCGTTTATCAGTCTGTTTTAGTTTCTCTTCTAGTAAGGTCTTCTCTTTAGCAAGGTTCTCAGCTAACCGGTTAGACTCGTTCCTTTCCTGGGCGACCAGATTCGCCTTATTTAGTTCCTCTTCCAAACGACTACGAAGGTTCTCTTTTTCCTTTGTAACCTCATCGAGATTAGATGCCATTTTGTTTCGGTCTTCGGTTGCGCTTTCTGTTAGTTCCGTTAGTTGATTCCGTAGCTTTTGCATCTGATCCTCGTGCTTAGTACATTGCCGTTGCAGATCATCGATAGTCTTCTGCAGTTGATGCTTCTCATTGAGCAACTGGTCAACGCTACCCTCGATTTTTTTGGCGAGGCCCTCATCGCTCGACGAAATATTTTCCTCCTCCTCGACCTCTTCGGTGATGACCATAAGCTTTAATTGGTGCATTTTGCGTGCAATCTTCCTCAATTCGTTTTCCTTCTGTGACAGCTTCTTTTCACTCGCACGCATTCTTTCTTCCCAGTTCTCTACCGTAAGAATCTTGGCGCGGTCGTCTACTATCTTTTCACCATTGCAGAGTTGGCCTGCACGAAATGATTTACTCTGTTCCGTCAAGGTAACACACTTTGTACGGAGCTCCTGAAGCTCCTTATCTTTGTCTTGAATTAACGATTTTAGCTTCTTGAGCTCCTCATCTTGGATGCTTAGTATTTTTGTCTCGTCAGTGATCACTTTTTTTACTCCCAGCTGTTGAAGTTTTTGAATTTGTTTGTCCTTCTCTTCAATTGTGGCCTTTACCGTTCTTAGTTCTTTTTCTGCTCGACTTCTCAGCTCCTTGGCCATAATTACGTCGGCTTCCTTATTTTGCAGGTCTAGGTTCAACTGGCGCACCTGTTCCTTAAACGGTTTGACAACCTCGTCGCTGTTGGACAGTAAGTCAATCTAAAATCATAAAAGTTCTTAGTTATAGTAAAAGATGATATCTACCGTCACAGATGACATTATGAACATCCAAGAAGAATTCGCAAGCAGCAATATCAAGCAGATACGCGTGACATATCTAAAGCAAATTTTACGCGAGCCTGATCAGTCATTTGTTGCTACTTCAACACTAAACGTATTAAAGACTTTCAACTGCAGCGGCGGCAGCAGCAGAAGTGAAGTTCATGGATTTAAACAGTGCAGTTTCCATGATCTATAAACTTGAATGCTTCGTCGTTCTGTGAAAATAACGAAACTGGAGTTATAAGGTTTATATTCGAAAAAAAACTCGTAAACAATGTTTGCAAATTAGGAAGAACAATATAATTAGGTAATTTAAGATGCAACAATGTTACATCCTCACCAAACGCGAAGATAGAAGCGACTGAGAAGGATGATGACAGAAAGCCGCAAGTTAAATCGTTCCATGTCTGTCACGGATAGCCTAGTATTGAACAAGTTAGTGCGACATAAAGTATAATCTAAATGTTAGTACTATTTGAAATATCTTAGTGTACTCACTTTGGTTCGCAAGACCTTAATTTTCTCATCTTTCTCGTCCATAATCAGGCGTAGGTTCTCTTCCAGATGTGCCTTAGCCTTCTGCTCGAGATCGGCTTGTTCGCGCAGCTCATTTATTCGTCGTAACGACTTATCTTGTGTATCCGTCAGGACCTTCTGAATTTTATCCTTTTCTTCGTTAAGATTACGGTAAGCCCGAACAGCCTATATAATAGAACGTAGATAGTCAGAAAGGGTGATGTATTTACAAAAATTTAGAAAGATGTGACATTTTTATGTTGTGCGAAGTTTGGAATCGAATTCTAATATCTAAGATATTTATTTTCTTTAACTTTTAACTTCCTTTTAAAACTTTTAACGTCCTCGACTCTTAAAAACAGATTTCTTGAATAGTTACAGCGCGCGTATTTTACAATAAGTGTACATCAAAAAAACTTAATAGTATAATATTAAACACTGGCCAGAACCCTTCATAAGCGAGCAGAAAGATAACACAGTAAAACATTTAATAGCGTTTTTATTAGACCTTTGTCCTTCTTCATAATCGACTCCCATCGTTGATATCGACTTCATTTGATCAGCTAAGGTTTTATTTTGTGCGCTAGGTTTCCCAGTGGCTTGAATTGATATCTGAGCATTGATGCTTTTTCAGACTGACTCAAGTGTTAAGTTACGACAAGAAAGAATGAGGAGAGGTACCTATCGTCGACCACCCCGTCATCCTAAGCATAATTATGGCAAAAAAAGCAACTTAACTTACACGCCAAATTTTGTACATCTAAGCACCTGTTTAAGCAGGTATTCCTAAGGGAAATCTCCTAAGAATTCTGAGAGAATTCCTAAGAAATTCCTAAGAAAAAACTATTTTAATATAAACCTGAAATCGTCAAAGAAAAATCAAGTTTGTACGAAACAGAAACCTTGGAGCAACAAGGAAGAGCTTCGGAATGATTGATGTAGAGATGCCGTCTAGAACACCAAGGAATTACTAATTTTTTTTTATTATCGCTTGATTTGGTCGTTCAGTAAATACTCTACATATATTGTACTTCTTACATCTTATCGTACTTTTTCCAACGCCTAGAATTTAAATTCCCATAAACCTTTGTGGTATCAAGAAGCATAACAACGACCCACTGATACTGACCTCATTGTATTTATTTTTATATCGTTCAACTTTCTGTTTGCTGCGCTGAACAACGGCGTAAATCTCTTCCTTTGTGACACGACTCAGGTCAACCATTACAGGACCTTCAGCTTCGCTCTCTGTATCTGACTGAAGAATATACCTGCAAACATAATCATTCTTTGAATGCAGTGTTAAGCACCTCCCGAAAAATGCCCTAGCCAGTAAAAAGTTTGCATGATAAAGCTGCAATTGTATTAAAAATGTTCAGTTATCTCACTATTGAGGTAGTAGTTGAATAATTCGCAGAGAAAACGCGGAAGATTGTTGCCGTGACAAAATTTCAGGTGGATTAGTAATACTGGATATCTTGATTTTGTAGATGTTTTCCCTACAAGCGCTGCTTTTAGGTACTTTTTACCCATAAATTCTCAATATGGCACTTCATATTCCTCAAGACAGTGTTGATTAGTAGAACAATACACTCACAACAGCCACTTTTTTGACCACTAGGTTACAGAAAACGGATGGTTTTTTTTCGATTCTCTTTTTTTGGCAACCGACAACATTTGTTCAAGTGACGAAATTGTGAGTATGTTTAAACATTATTTTGTTGCTTTACATCCTCAATAGATGTACCTCGGTCGATCCGGCGAATTTTGGATAGGAAGGACCGCAGGCTCGCTGGACTGCGATGACGAACTGACGGTCCTTTGTCGGGGCAAAGGACCACTGACAGGTCCTGAAGATTGCGGTTGCTGTTGTGGTTGTTGGTCTTTGTCTTTCTGCTCGCCCAAGAGGGAATCTCCGACAAGAGAACATTCTTCGGTGACAGTGATACCTTGTGGGCTGTGGCTGACATCTGCGGCTGTGGGGAGCCCCCCAGATGTCCCGCCGGTGTCATCCTGCAATAACAAAGCGTTGTAAAGGCACCAAATATGGCGTCTCGTTACTTCAAAGTGAAATTGCATCCAGATATAGGTGTTGTTTAATTCTTGCATACCGTATATTATATAATTTGTGTAAAAAAAAAGCGTAGTTGGGTCGCGAGGCTCTACATAGTTTAAAAGCTGGTTATAAGAGCTAGTTGACTACTGACAAGTGACTCAACAACAAAACTATTAAGCCGACAAATATTCATATATTTTACACAGTGTGAGAAATATACGCTGCTGCGGTTTTTAGCAGATGAGGAATCGTGTACTATAGGTAGATAAAATTCTATTTAGAACAAAAGAGGCCAGTATTATAGTCTGGAGGTAAGATTCTGTATCGACCTGCAGATAAAGCAAACTGACATAGCTTTAGGCTACTATGATAATTATTGTTCAATATGTTTTCTTTCATTATAGAGTAGTGTTCCTTTTTCTGGGTCGTTCAACCACTTGCTTCATAGGAATATTCCCAACCTGGCGTGCTTTAAATATTTAGCGATAGATATCGATCCTTGTACGAGCCCAATACCAAGCTAGAAATCCGTTTACAGATATTAAAGACAAATCTCTGTGTATATACCCTAAACTGGTAGTACTAGTATAAAAAAAACAGTGAGCACGCTTTTGTCCCAGTATTTGTATGCCGGTGCGTCAAGAAAAATATAATGTGTATTTTTTCGTTCGCAAGAAGAAGGTTTCACTTATATCCGCATTTTGTTGAAAAAGTATAAATATTCATAATTGCCAAAACAAAAAAAAAAAATCAGATACTACTAATAGAACATACCTAACCTTAGAAGATGCTTTGTCGTACATTTTAGATAAAAAAAAAATGTACATTGGTCCACATGGATTTTTGGCGTTCACCATAGTGAAATAGTCACTGTTCTTGTAGGTGATTAATATCAAGCTCGGGATTTCTCGGATTCAAATAGCGGTGATGATGACGACGAAGAACCAATGATTCGAAAATCCAAAAACAGCATTCAAAGGGCGGTGCACGCAAAAGGAGAGCAAATGTGTATGGATGAAAGTTTTGTAGTAAGATGTCGCGAGGGGTGTCTCGCTGTTTTTCAGGTTCCCCTTCCGCACAATACCGGGTAGCCTACCAGTGAGAGCATTGGAAGCCCAATTATCGCCGAGCAATAGATGAAATAGCCATTCGGCACTGTAGCGTTTTCATTGTACAAAGCAGTTAAGAATTTTTACTTTTGGTATCGTTGTTAGGCATTAGATCAGACAGCTGGCTCCCAGCGCGAAACGAAGCGTGTCTAAGCCCAGGTTCGAACGTATCCTTAAGATTAGCAGGCAAATATGTTACCCAGAATGACGAGAATAAGAAAAAAGCTGTTAAACCTAAAACGGTTTAACCGTTACTAACTCATAGTTCGTTCATCCTTTACGTAGAGGTGTTCGTTTGGGTGTGTTTAATTCAATTGAATTATCTCACTATTTTGCCAAGCGTCTAACGGTAGTGAACTAGCGTTTACAATAAGAGATGTTCCATCATGGCAAGGATTCTGTTTTATCTATTATTGAAGCTGCTGATTGAAGCTGCTATAATCTGTAGTTCCACATGGCAGCTGTAAACAAAATAACTGGGCACAATACGTTAAAGGTCACCTCGTATAATAGCAATGTCTACTCCGTGTGCGGCTTCTCCTTTAAGCCACAAATATGGCAACTGTGGAAGAAACAAGGCAATGTTGAAAAAATCATGGCGCTATAATTTCTATCTAGCAGAAAATTTTTCGAATTTTTTATTTTTAATTTGGGCGCCGAATATGTGTTATCATTGTTTAGCAAAACGAGATGCATAAAATTTGCGGAGTGCAGTTGATAAAACCGTCTAGAGATGCACGCAGGCGAGCTTTAGTTAGGGTTAGAAAATTGCGAGCGCTAGATATTTCGGTTCCGGGAAAATTTGTCGAGTAACTTAACCTCGAAGCCGACTTATATACATGGAATATTAAACAGTAAACACAAATTTATAAAGCCTTTTTTCTGCGACGGGTATATCGTTATTTATGCTATATCGTTACATTATATTGCCGTCACCGCATATGAGCGCATATCATAGTTACGGATTAGTTGTGCATAGTAGTCTGATGGTTGCACTGAAAGAAATGGTTTTGTATGGACTAGTCTGTAGGGGTCAAGGTATCGTTTTTGATTTCGTAGCAAATGGCAGGTTTAGAATTCTTACACGTATGCAGGCAACAGATAACTTTTTTCTGTGATGACTTGCGAAACAACAGCAAGAAAATAGTCTGTGTACTGTTAAACCTAACATATATTAGTGCATTTTGGATATATGGAGCGTTTTTCAATTGAGGTTAGGATCTGGATGTCAAGAATCCTATTTAACAATTGCTTTAATTAATCCAGAATTTGAACAGCTAGAATCGAAGGAAATTATACTAGCGCTCTTTGTCTCCCCTTCTTCAAACTATCTAAATGCTTAACATGACTTGGCTTCCTTTCCCTCTGTATATAACAATGAACGCTGTAGGTTTCTTGAACCAAAAGTGACATTTTCTTACGCGACGTTTATGGCGAACTTGATAGCTCAACTTATCGTTTTTCCCTAAATGCGATTATTTCATTTTAGCACCATTCAACAGTTAAACAACTATTATGTACATAATGAACGTATTCATAATTGTAATACCCAAGTCAACAAGAGGACTCGTTGTCGAACCGCTGCACCGGAAAGATTCACGAGACTTTATTTTTTATTAAGAGACGATTATATTAATATCTGTCACTTTCTATCGGTCCGTTTGATAAAAATCTGAACTGAAAGCACGATACAAGTGTCTGGCTTTCCTTCTTAATTCTGGTCCTCATGCAGCCTTTTTTTTGTTCTTTTGCACAACACGAAACACGTCAACAGGATATATTCCGGGATGAGCCACCATCACACCAACAACGTTCATAAAAAAACAATGAGAATATGATAACTGAAAAACCTCGGCTGAGATGAGCTACCAAGCTGTATGATTGCCATCGGAATGATAAAACATTGGGCGGCTGGGAGGAAATACCAGGAGATTTAATATTTGATGATAGCTTATGACGCAGCTTAAAAACACCTGTTCAACTTAAACTTTCAATCGAATAAAGTTCTCACCGTAAGATCATATCCATCTTTTTCTTCTTAGGTAATATACATACTACAAAAGACGAACACTATATTTTTTAAGTTATCTTCGTTCGAGACGTAGATATAAACGACTGTTTAAATTGTACTCGTCAAGTTAGCTAACAATTAGGCATAGATTTTGTCGCTAATGGAACTATTGTCGCTTGCTTCGTAAAGCATCATCTGCTTGTTGTGTCAGATCCTTATTTCGCAATGGCGTTTCTACGATGCTTTTACATGCCACTTCGTCTGTTTCACACAGGGAGAGACAGGCAATGGACCATCAAACGGCCGTATTCAGTAGCCTTATTATCCTCATGCACTTGTGCACCGCTGAACTCGAACGGCGACACCATTTGATTTCGCTGCGCTGTCGTTTATTCATTCTAGTAAACTTCTTTTTTTCGTATCCCTTTATCCAATTCCTTAGCCTAGCTGGAACTATTAAACACTAAACCGTACACAGGCTTTAATGACCATACACACACAGTATACTATTGCAGTATACACGATGATAGCGAAATGCTAGTCTGATCTGCGGGTCTGCATGCTACAATTATGGAATATGTGATAAAATTGTTTAGATTCGAAATCGGGTCTCTAGCTAACGCGGTATTATCGGACGCACGCTCTGAAAAACGAAAGTTCAAAACCGGACGTAAACAATTTTTTCCATGTTGGAAACGGCTTCTGAAGCGATGCTTAGAGACTGTAGCACAGGGCATATATTTAGTTAGACTCACCCTAGAGGCGTCGCATTGCTCTCGGTAATTAGTCGACCAGTATGGTAAAAAAAAAAAGTAGATTCACAGGGACTTCAAGAATTTTTTATGCGTGGTATCTATTTAAGCCGTTCACAACTGCTCGTTTTCAACGTGTCCGGATTCAATATTCCTAATTTTAGCAGGTAAACACGCTACCCAGAGCGCGACCACGAAGACCTGCAACTCGTATAAAGCTGGCGAGATTCGAAATAATCAAAAGTATACGTTTTCGAGCATACGAAGGACAATAAGTAGATTATGGTGGATTGCGCTATGTGACAATGTTACCGTGCATAATCTTATGCATTCATCCAAAATTATTCTGATTAAAATTTAGTCTGGTAAGAAAGCAAAGCTGTTTTCATAAAAATTAGATTGTACTGACTGCCTTTCAAAGACACTAAGATCTATATTTCACAAATCTAGCGCATCCGTTTTCGTCGATTCTAATAATTGAAGCAAAGGCCAAGAGCCGATTGAACTGTATCACCTTAATGTACCATGATGTCCCGACCAACAAATCTCTAACATGATCACACGTTTGCACGTGAAACAAATACCATTTTGACGTTGCGCTTACGCGGTATACCCAACAAACGTTGTCGTAGGGGGTCGATCATGACTAGCAGCTACGAACTGATATCGGTCATCAACATGTTCGGGCGTCTGCTTCTAATTACACCTCATGTAGTCAACCGTAACTCGCCTGGCCAACAAATGCGAGCAATGTGTATTTGTTAGAATTCCGTCTGCCGGCGAAAATCTGATCGAAAACCTGAGCTTATTCTACACTGACCATATCTACCGATGGTTCAGTGACAACCGCAATTGTCTGATCGGCTGCTACTACAGAGCTGATAGCGACAGCGCAATCGGAAGAACAGTACTAATCAGGAACGATGAGAACCGTTTCTCACCAGGCAAGTAGTTGTACTCGGCGCCGGTAGTTTTCTTCCTGCGTCTCCTAGGACGCCACAACCTCCAACGAAAAAACGCAGGCACTTGCCCGTTATATGTCAACTGCACGATTTCGCCAAAAGAAGGGCAAGTATCAAAAGCAC